TGATATAAATGACTACCACGTGCCATTAACATCACCTAAACAGTGTAAAACAAGCACAGTAGAAGGAATTGGAGTGATATAAACCCCTTGCTATAATAGTTTTAGTTGATAAATTATATTTCAAAATTGAACCTATTTCTTCCAAATTTCATCTATAAAGTTCCAGGGAATTCCAAAATCTTGCCTGCCTTCTTATCCCAGTTAACAGGATTGTCTCTGAGCAGCCATGGTGGTATCCATTCTCCGTGGACCATAAATTGAGCCTATTTTGACATCATTTGAGCAGTTGTAATTGTTTCACCACATCAGAGTGAGATTACTACATGCCAGAGCTATTCTTTAACTCAGCTTGTAAAAACATGATAGCATCAACAGTATATATAGCAAACAAATGCCATCTTTAATCCAATTAAAGGGTTTTTACCAATTTGCTCTTGTTTGTTGATGCTATCTGCATTGCAGTAAAGGTGAGGTAAAAAGAGTGAATAAACTGCCAAGTTAAAATTAAATTTGGGCAATTTCTCTTTTGCAGCAATGTATGTATATTTACTGAAAACATGTATGCCAAATTTAGTGTTGAAAGGCTCATTCAAATCAATTGGGAAAGCACGTAAATGAACAATTCATAAAAGAAAAGCATTGCAAATGGCCAAGAGCATAGAAAATGTGCTCAATCTTATCAGTCATTATAATGAAATAATGAAATTTGTGTACATATGAAATATATACTTAAAATATATATAAAAACAATTATTTGCCTTTTTTCACCTATCAGATTAACAGATACATGTGTTAACAAGGTGGGGAGAATTTACAACTCCTGATGTGTTAAAATCTTTAAGGAAGGTAGTAGAAAATATATATAAAATGGAAATTAGCACTTTTGACCAACAATTTTGGTTTTAGATATTTACCTATAAGGATATAATAGGTGTTCAAAGATGCATGTAAACTTAAGGGTACTCAGTGTAGTGTTAATTATAATTGTAAAATAGTAAATAACATTTTTGTCAAATCATAATGGTAGGAAAATTAGTGATGGCACATTTAACCAATTGGATTATATTCAGTTATGAATACGGTGATGCATGTTCAAATTAATTGATATAAAAATCCAACAACTTCAGCAGTTTATTTGCCAGTTATTGAGTACCAACTGTGTTCAACATTGTTATTTCTATTCATTTGAAATGATAAATGTATGTGCTTGTTGTGATATGGTCAATAAAACCAGTTTTATAGGAAGAATACTCTCAAAATACAGCGAGTTCTGGTCATTATTGTTGCATTTTTGTGTGTGTGTGTTTTGAATACATATGTGTATTTCAGTTAAATACAGCATTTATCGAATTTTTATCACATGTACCACATGTTCAGATCAACACTTTACATGAATTATCGTAATGCTTATAATAACAGATGGATTAACGAATTTGTCTTTTTAAAAGATAAGTAAATTGAGGTTGAGTTTGAATTTGTGTAATTCATCCTATTATATAGAAGTTAAATAAACCTATCCTAGGATGCCACAACCTTTGGAAGATAATAATTAAAAATGCTTATGATTTGTTAAACCCATTGAGCAAAATCATGTTTTGTGAAAGAACTCACATTTCAGAAGTCATATTCATTCTCCTTTTGTCTTTAAGGCCAGAGACATGATAATTATTAAGTGCAGCTTGTCAGGACAGAAAGTGTAACTGTTGGTGTATTGTAGGAACAGGAGAGACACATGAATAGGAAATTGTCTTTTGGAAATTCTTATAGTATAAACCTTTAAGGAGTTAATTCTGGAAATATGGGGTGCCTTTGCTCAGAATGTGGAACAGTGTTTCCTGGCAGAAACCATATTATACACAAAGCTCTGAGACATCATGGAGGCACAGATGAAAGTCCAAAGAGAAATGTCCAGTAGAAAGAGGATCACTAAATGGAAAAAGCTAACTTTGGAATAGAGCTGGTGACAGGCAGTATGATGACTTAAATACTGCCAATAGCAGGGAAAAGGTCCATGGTAATTTCTGAGTGAAGAAAAAACTGCCAAGTGATCTAGATTTGAAGGTCGTAACGTCTTGTTGGGATAGTTTTCCAGTGTAATTTATGATCATATGGTCTAGATTCTACAAAATCTCCCCCATTGAACAAAATCTATAATTAGTTCTCTTTTTACATTTTCTTCATTCATTTTAACCCTTTTCTAAAGATGGCACTTAGTGTCTTGTGAATGCAGTCCCTTAGCAGTTCTCAGCTAGTAGCTGAAACTTTGGTTAAAATGGTATAAGCATGAGGGATTGTGACATAAATTTTGCTTTGCTATGGCAGTTGTTGAAATATGTTTCGAATTTTGACTATTTGTCATGTAAGGAATGCACAGTGCCATTTTAACTTTGTATTTTTATGTTCTGGTATTTGGGGGATTGGAAGTTGACTATATGAGATTCTTGCAGCTGGGTCTCAGACATGTTGAGAAGGCTGAAGAAGGAAAAGTACAGAAGGAAAAAGCAGGGATGGGGGACGCTGCATCCCTCAAATAGGATACCACTGGATACTGAGCAGTGAACAGCCTCGGGTTTTGCCGGACACCATTTTGGAATATTTGGACACAGTTTCTTGAAGGATGAGAGACCTAATCAATGGTAATAAGATGTTTAAAATATTAATATGAATGAATGCTTAGGCAAGGTTGACAGTTCAGTTCTTCTGTACAGTAGATAGCATTAACAAGGAAATGACAGGATTTGGAAAATCAGTATTTGGAAAAAATCATAATTGTTTCAGCCAGGAATCATCAAATGATGCTAAAACTTGGAGAAAATTTTAAGAGAAATAGGACACTTAGATAGCGAGCAATTTGAGGTCCTTATCAGTTACAAAGGGAAAGTAGTAGCTTCCTGATGGACAACATGGTTGATGCACCTGAACTAAAGAGGTGAAAGTTAATACCACCAGTAGTGGGAACATCAGGCAGCACTGGTAGGGTGCACTGGGAAGAACACAGTCTCATTTCTGTGGTATTACTGACTCAAGTGTATAAACCTGAGTCTACCCATGAGGAAACATCAGTCTCAAATTGACTGACATTCTGCTTTTAGTATTCAAACATACTAATTTCACTGAGGAAATAGTCCAGATTCTTTCCGACTAAATAGACACGAGAATGGAATATAACATTGATTCAGGATGTCTGTAAAAGGACATGGAAAGTTGGCAAAGTTTGAAGACTGTCTCTCAAGTAGATTACAATGTTATGTGAGTATTAATTGCCAATGTTATATAATTGCCTGAGGTTGTATAACAGAAAATTCTTGTTTTTGAGAAATTAAAACAATTTAAAGGATAAAAGGATAATGTCATAGCTGTAATTTTCAAAGCACTTAGATAAAATAATATACATGTTTCAAAAAATGAGAAAAAAATGAAACAGGTGTTTTAAGATGTTACCTAATAGGGAATCCAGGTAAAAGTTATCCAGGAATTATGGATAGTCTTGTATCTGTTAAGTAGATCTGGAATTAGTTGATGAAAATAATGCAAAAGAACACGTCAAAAGGAATGGTTTGAGCATATGGCTTTGAGCATACATAAATGCTCAGGAAACATGAAAATGTGGAATAAATGCATGACTACTGTAATACCAGCAGGCCTTGTAGATACCTGCATTTGAAGCATTTATATTAGAAGAAATCCTTTTTACCCAGAATTTTATCACTTAGCCTAATGTTTTCAAGGTTTGGCCATGTTGTACCATGTATCAGATCTCCATTTTCTTTGATAGAGAAGTGATATTCTATTGTATAAATATCACATTTTGTTTATCCACTCATCAGTTTTTGGCTATTATGACTAATCCCGCTAGCAATATTTATGTGGAGGTTTTTGTGTGTTTATGTATTCAATTCTCTTATACATGAGAATATAGTAACTATAGTTATTTGACGTTTTGAGGTCCTGTCTGTAAGATAATTTTTGCTAGGTTTGAAGGCAGATAATAGTCTATGCAAAATGAATATTCTGTTGAATATTGATGTGAACTATTATGTAAAGAAAAATACATTGAAATAGTAAGTATACAGGTTACATCTTGGTTTTTGTACTCAACAAGCAGTTTTATGTTTTATTTTTCAGGAACTCTCCCATACTGAATTAAGGCTGGGATATTAGAGAAAAGGAAAAATATGAAACTCACTGGTGTTTTATGGCACTTTGAGTTCCCCAGTTTACCTTCAAACATTTCGCCTTCTACGTTCTCTTCTACCCTATCAGTGCATCCCTCTGAGATTCTTAATTCTTTGGTTGTGTAAAGATGGACTATGCTCACTCCATCTTACTTCTCTTAGGTCTTACAGTGGCAGTGCCCTATTACATTTTGTTCTTTTCTATGATTTCCATTTATTTTATGAAATTTTTCGTCTATGTTTTCTATTCTTGCCATCTTAATTTCTATGTAACGTTTTGAAATAGATTCCAAAGTTTATGTATATATATAGAGAGAGAGAGAGAGAGAGAGAGACAGAGACAGAGATTTCTACTTCACTATTGAAGTAGATTCCTAAGGTTTTTTAATCTCTTCTAGAATATTGGTTTCACAACAGCCCTATCGTGTGTATTTAATTTTACCCACCACAGGGCATTTTCAGGGAGTCTTTATTTGGCGGAATAAAACTTTAGAATCTCTGATTCAAAGAGAAAATTGCTCACAGGCATGAGCCACTGCGCCTGGCCGGTTTTTACTATTTAAAGAATGAAGAATTTTAGCAGTGTGGGGTGGCTCATGCCTGTAATCCCAGCACTTTGGGAGGCTGAGGTGGGCAGATCACTTGAGGCCAGGAGTTCAAGACCAGCCTGGCCAACATGACGAAACCCCATCTCTACTAAAAATACAAGAATTAGCCAGGCGTGATGACACATGCCTGGAGTCCTAGCTACTTGGCAAGCTTAGGCAGAAGAATCGCTTGAACCAGAGACACGGAGGCTGCAATGAGCCTAGACTGCACCACTGCACTCCAGCCTGGGCGACAGAGCGAGACTCCATCTCAAAAATCAAGAAGAATTGGAGGAGGAAATAAATAGATAAATGGCAAAGGTGACGAAGGACCAAAGATCTGTGACTTGTGGAAAGATGGCTCTGTGGTAATTATTACAGAAACAATGTTTGTATCTTATTTTTTTAGTGAATTTTGTATATTCTCTAATCTGATTTACTTTTGTTTTTAATAGTTTGCTGCAGGTCTAGAAGATGTTACAGAATTTCAAGCGAGAGAGGTGAGCAGCTACCGTGGTGATTTCGCAATTGTTTATGTGTGTTGTGGCCAGTGATGTCAGAATTTCAGGATCTGAGAATTCATGATTTCAGAGGCTCAAAGGAGAATATTTTTATAATAGATTTTTTTTGCTATGTGAATATCCCTACTTTGTTCAGGGAATCTCATTATTTTTTCCCTTTTTGGAAAAAAGAGATTTTGTTTTTTGGTAGTAACCTGAATAAATTGGGGGAAGTATTGATGTATTTCCTTTTCTCTCCATTTATTTGTTGGATGAAAATAATCTTCTAGTGAAATTCACTGTGTTCAATATTTATTTTTTAAAGAATAGAGGTGGGGTCATGCCGTGTTGCCCAGGCTGCCCTTGAACTCCTGGGCTCAAGCAATCATCTTGCCTCAACCTCCTGAGTAGCTGCGACTATAGGCATGTGCTGCCATGCCTGGCTTAAATATTGATTTAAAGATTTTTATCTGGCACATTCTGATCGCAGATGTTTCTACTTACATTTGTCATGTAATCACAGTATATATTTATTTTGCTACCTCGCTTACTCCTAAAAATTTTAGTTCATTGAATTGGTCTTAATTGGACTTAAAATTTTTTTCCCTGGCCGGGCACCTTGGCTCACGCTTGTAATCCCAGCACTTTGGGACACCAAGGCGGGTGAATCACCTGAGGTCAGGAGTTCGAGACTAGCCTGACCAACATGGAGAAACCCCGTCTCTGCTGATAATACAAAATTAGCCAGGCGTGGTGGCACATGCCTGTAATTCCAGCTACTCAGAAGACTGAGGCAGGAGAATCGCTTGAACCCAGGAGGCAGAGGTTGCGGTGAGCCGAGATCATGCCATTGCACTCCAACCTGGGCAACAAGTGCAAAACTCTGTCTCAAAAAAAAAAAAAATTTCCCAATAGATTTTAATCTAATTTTATTGGAACAATTCAGTCATATATTTTTTCATGCTATGTATATGAGAGTTCCATCATTCAGATACTAAACAAATGTCTACATTTACTGTTCTCACTGATGATGCATTAGATAACCATGCACAAAATAAGCCTGGCTGTGGAAATGCTTATTTGTTGGGAGGGCGCTTGTTTGGATCGATGATGAGAATAATTGTCTGAGGATGCTGAGGGACTCATTCCAGATGTCAATCTGAGGTCCAGATGTGCAGCCCTCCACTAGGACAAATAAGACTCTCAGAGCCTGGCTCTATTTAGGGATCCCTCAGTGACAATAGAGTACCCCTGTGAGCATGCCTTTTCTGTCTCTCCTGAGAGGGCAGTAGCATCCTGTCTTAGGAGTCAGTATGCTCTTTAGTATGCTTACTGACCCAGGACTCACTTTATTTTGTTCATTTTGAGCAGAGAATTGTAGATAGATACATATATGGGAAATATGTTCTTAACAAATGAAAAAGTTTCAGTCAAGAAAGGTCAAGCAACTGTGATGTATAGTGAAGGAAGGGAACACTGCATGCCTATATTAAATATTGACAAAGGAACCAATTTTAGTGCCTTGTTATTTTTACTGTTGAGTGTTTTCTGAGACCATGTCTTTTTCTTCTATTTTGTTTTGCTGAGGTAGAGGAGGGCTGGCATGAGGTCCTCCACTTCAGAAAATAGGGGTGAGTAGTTAAACCAACATCCTTTGGAATTCGTATACATCATGTGTTCCATGTCACATCCTGAGGTCTTTTTGTTTATTTTTTAGTGGCTTACTGGATAATATCTAAATAATGTATCTTTTACTTTGGTGAGTCTCTCCACCTTCATTTCTGAATCATTGTCCTTTATATTTTTATTCCATTTGAATTTTGCATGAAATGACAAATGTAGAATTTTGCCCAATTGATTTTATTTATTCAGTTATTTATTTGGGAAGACAGGGTCTCTCTCTCTGTTACCCAGGCTGGAGTACAGTGGCCCAGTCATAGCTTACTTCAGCTCTTCACTCTGTAGCCCTGAACTCCTGGGCTCAAATGATCCTCCACATTCAGCCTCCCAAGTAGGTAGGAATAGAGATATGTGTCACCACACATAGCTAATTTTTAAATTTTTTGTTTCGTGGAGATAGGATCTTACTATTTTGCAAAGGCTGGTCTTGAACTACTGGGCTCAAGCAACCCTCTTGCTTTGGCTTCCCAAAGTGCTAGGATTACAGGCAGGAGCCACCATGCCTGGCATCATTAGAGATATTGGTCTGTGATTCACTTTTTTGATGATGTCTTTTGTTTCGATTAAAAATTAGGGTAATAGACTCATGGAATAAGTTGGGAAATGTTTTCTGCTCTCCTGTTTTTTTAGAAGAGTTAGTAAATGATCGATGTTATTTCTTTAATGATTTGGTAGAATTCATCAGAGAAATGATTTGTGTAGGATTTTATTTGTGGGAACTTTTTGAGTAGCTCATTCAATCTCTTGTTAAAGGTGACTTTGATTTTCTGTTTTTCCTTCTTGTGACAGTTCCTGTAATTTATGTATTTCTAGGTATTTGCCCCTTTAATCTAGGTTATCTAATTTGTTGACATACCTTATTTCTATAAGGGTGTTAGTAATAGTCTGATTTTCATTCCAGATTTTATGAAAATTGAATCTTCTGTTTTCAGTATTGTAGGTATTGTTATGTCAATTTTTTAAGAGACAGAGTCTTGCTGTTTATGCCGGCCTTGAACTTCTGAGCCTAAGCAGTCCTGCTGCCTCTGCATCTTGAGTAGCTGGGAATACAGGAACACACCACCACACCTGGCCTGTCACTAGACAAACAAAAAATTTCAGTGAACCAGCTTTTGATATTTTTATTTTTTCTTCTCTATGCTTTGTTTTATTTATTGGCATTTTATTCTTATTTCTTTTATTCTACTTGATTTAACTTTGCTTTGTTCTTCTGTTTTCTTAAGGTAAAAGTTTAGATTGATTTGAGATTTTCCTTTATTTAATATGGACATTTACAGCTATAAATTTCTCAAAGAACTCCTTTAGCTACACAGACATTTTCTTTTGTTGTGTTTTGTTTCCTTTCATTTCAAACTATTTTATAAATTTTCTTCTTTCCATGACCCAAGGATTCTTAGTAATGTGTTAATTTCCATGTATTGTGAATTCCCCCCATTTTTTTTCATTTATTTCTGATTTGATTCCATTGTGGTTGAACAACATACTTTTCTGATTTCTTTACTTTCAGATTTGTTGAGACCAGTGTGTGGTCTAATATCTACCCTGGACACTGTTCCATGTGCACTTGAAAATAATATATTTTCTACTGGTTAGATTGTTCCATAGATGGATGTTAGATGTAACTGCTTTACTGTGTTTTTTGCTTCTGTTTCCTTGATCTTCTGTCTCATTGTTACATTCATCATTGAAAGTGAGGTATTGAAATTTTCAATTATTATAACATTGATTTTGCCTTCCATTCTGTCATATCATTTTTTAATTTAATTTTGAGGCTATGTTGTTAGATGCATATATCTTTATTATTGTTACATCTTCCTGATGGATTGACAGTTTTATCATCATGAAATGTCCTTCTTGGTCTTTACCAACAATTTTTATCTTGAAATTTATTTAGCTTGATAATTGTAGTTTTTATCTGACTTACAGTCCCTAAACTCTCTTTGGTTACTGTGTGCAGTTTATCTTTTCCTTTCATTCTTTTCCTATCTACCTGTTTTTAATTCAAAACAAAATCTTTGAGACAGGATCTCACTCTCACCAATGCTGAAGTGCAATGGCATGATCATAGCTCACTGCAACCTGAAACTCTTGTATTTAAGCATTTCTTCCACCTCAGCCTCCGAGTAGCTGGGACTACAGGTCCACACCACGACACCTGGCTAAGTTTTTTGTATTTTTTTTCTTGTAGAGATGAAATCTTGCTATGTTGCCTAGGGTGGTTATTTTCTAATTGAGTTAGATTTGTAAAGACTCACCTTCCAAATAAACTCACATTTATAGTTTCCATGTGGATGTATCTTTTATATTTATTTATTTTTTAAGACAGAGTCTTGCTCTTTCACCCAGGCTAGAGTGCAGTGGAGCGATCTTGGCTCACTGCAATCTCCAGCTCCTAGGTTCAAGCGAGTCTCCTGCCTTAGCTTCCCGAGTAGCTGGTATTACAGGCTCACACCACCACGCCCAGCTAATTTTTTGTATTTTTGGTAGAGATGGGGTTTCACCATGTTGGCCAGGCTGATCTCGAACTCTTAACCTCAAGTGATCTGCCCGTCTCCACCTCCCAGAATGCTGGAATTACAGGTGTGAACCACCGTGCCCCGTTAGATGTGGGTTTTTTTTTTCGGTGGGGGTGGGGTTACTGTTGAACTCACTTACAGTGGTTTTCAAGAAACTGGTCTATTTCATTACAGTTACCAAATTTGTGATTATAGAGTTTTTATTTTTTTTTTGAGATGGAGTCTCTCTCTGTCGTGCAGTGGCGCGATCTCGGCTCACTGCAAGCTCCACCTCCGGGGTTCACGCCATTCTCCTGCCTCAGCCTCCTGAGTAGCTGGGACTACAGGCGCCCGCCACCGCGCCTGGCTAATTTTTTGTATTTTTTAATAGAGACGGAGTTTCACCATGGTCTCGATTTCCTAACTTTGTGATTCGCCCGCCTCGGCCTCCCGAAGTGCTGAGATTACAGGCGTGAGCCACCGTGCCCGGCCTATAGAGTTTTTCATATTATTTCTCTATTGTCTTTTTAGTATCCAGGTGATCAGTAGCAGTGAGCCCTCTTCCATTTGTGTTATTGTAAATCTGTGTCTTCTCTCTTTTATTATTTATTTATTTATTTTGAGATAGGGTCTTGCGCTGTCACCTAGGCTGGAGTGCAGTGGCATGATCTCGGCTCGGCTCAGTGCAGCCTCTGCCTCCCGAGTTCAAGTGATTATCATGCCTCAGCTTCCCGAGTAGCTGGGAATACAGGCGTGCACCACTATGCCCAGCTAAATTTTTTTTTTTTTCTAGTTTTAGTAAAGATGGGCTTTCCTTATGTTGGCTAGGCTAGTCTTGAACTCCTGGCCTCAAGTGATCTACCTACCTTGGCCTCCCAAAGTGCTCGGATTAGAGGTGTAAGGCACTGCACCCAGCCTTCTTCTTATTCTTGATTTACCTGCCTACACTTACTAGTTTCATTAATCTTTTTAAATAATCTGCTTTTGGTTTCATTGTGTTTCATTTTCTGGCTGTTCATTTCATTTGATTGTGCTTGAATTTTATGATTTATTTTCTCTTCTTTGCTTATGTTTTTTTCTTCTTTCTCTGGTTTTCTGATGTAGAAGCTTATATTATTGACTTAGATCTTATTTTTTTTTAATTTGTTTTTTTGATATGGTTTCTCACTCTGTCACCCAAACTGGAGTGCAGTGGCACAGTCTTCGCTCACTGCAACCTCCAGCTCCCAGGTTCAGGCGAGTCTTCTGCCTCAGCCTCCCGAGTAGCTGAGACTACAGGCGCATGCCAGCACACCCAGCTAACTTTTGTATAGAGATGGGATTTCACTGTATTGTCCACGCTGATCTTGAACTCCTGACCCCGTGATCTGCCCGCCTTGGCCTCCCAAAGTGCTGGGATTATAGGTGTGAGCCACCACATCTGGCTGACTTAGATCTTATTTTCTAATATATACATTTAATGCTACAAATTTTCATTTAAGCACTACTTTTGCTGCATCCCAATTTTGATAAGTTTTTTTTCACTCTCATTTATTTAAATGTATTTCTTCATTTGTCTTGAGATAACCTCTTTAAACTATGTATGTATTAGCTGTATGTTGTTAAATCTCCAATTATGTGGTGTTTTCCAGCTGTTTTTTGAATTATAGATTTCTAATGTAGTTTGATTCCATTGTGAACTGAGAGCATATTTTATATTTTTTCTGTTCTTTCAAATTGGTCAGTGTGTGTCTTACGGCCCAGAGGTGATCTTTCTTGGTAATATTTCATGGTGAGCTTGAGGGTAACATGTATTCTGTTGTCGGTAGATGGACTGTTCTGAAAATGTCAAATGAAGTTAACTGATAATGCTATTCAAGTTAACTATCCCCTTACTGATTTTCTGATTGCTTCATCTATTGGCACTCATCTATTTTGGGGACTCAAAAAAGGCTATGGAGCTCTCAAATTATAATGGTGGACTTACCTATTTTTCCTTCTAGTTCTATCAGTTTTCCGCTCAGAGTTGTTGATGCTGTTTTGTTAAAGATAATTATTTCTTCTTCAAGAATTGGGGCCGGGCACGGTGGCTTATGTCTGTAATCCCAGCACTTTGAGAAGCTGAGGCGGGTGGATCTCTGAGGCCAGCAGTTCAAGACCGGCCTGTCCAACATGGTGAAAGCCTGTCTCTACTAAAAATACAAAATACAAAACATCCCATCATGTAGCCAGCTTGACGGCACTATCACTCTCCCTCTCCCCTGCCCTCTCTCCTCCCCCCCTTCCCTCTCTCCTCCCCTCTTCCCCTCTCCTC